GCCGCCACAAATGATTCAGTTCAATTTTTTTCGATGAAAACGTCGTAAAATTGTTAAGAAAAAAGTTAATCTGATGGACTGTATCGTAAAAGTAGCGTAAAAAAATATGAATGGTGACGGCGAGGGAGAGAAGCTATTTTGGGCCAGAGAATAACAACCAGAGCAAAAAACAAGACTAATAATAATCATAAAATATTCTGGGTTGTTTTAAGTGAATTTCCCGGTATTTTTCATTTGGACCCCCGTGTAATTTCCCTCGGGTCTCCCTTCACTTCACTGCCATCAACTCGTGCCCCACCACTTTCATAACCTGTCAAACTGAATTCACCGGTCATAAAACTTGTACACTGACGCTTTAGAAAGAAGAATTTTTTTTATATTATTAAATATGAATGCTCAGAGAAACGATGGTTCGGATGTGAAGTGTATTTAATATTTAAAAAGGGACCGGCGGTTACTTTTGGATTTTTCTTTTTTTTTTCATATTCCTCTCCCTACGGACTATATGGATAAAATATATACTCTCCAATACCGTTATAATGAATTTCTGTACTATTGTCTTGTAAAATTGCTTTTATGAAAATGAAAAATAAGAGATATTTCCGTCCGGAATTCTATATAAGCTAAATGGAATTAATAATATAAATTCGATATTTTCTGGACGTCAGATGAACAGGTCATGTATTGTAAAGTTTAAGAAACTGTCATTGACTATCATACTATCATAGTAGTAAACAATAAAATATAAAATAATAAAATATTTTTTAATATAATATATAGAGAGTAAGTACTATTTTATTGCTCGTATTTTCTTGTCAAAATAACTATCGACCGATGTAAGAAATAATTTTATTTTGTTGAATTATAAATGAATAAAAATTTTATGATATTGTTGAAATCGATTTTTCAATTAGTGTATACAGTTAAACAATGAAATAATACAATTTATATTTAAACTATATTTTTAATTTTATTTACATAAAACTTAAAATACTTTTAAATTGTTGCCATTTTGTTTTAAATTTATTGAAATGAATTTATTTTTATTTACAAAATTTAGCTTCGGCGACATAGGMCATTGTGATATAAGGGTTATTATTTACATAAACATATTTATTAAGTGTTTATATAATTAAATTATATAAACATAACTATTTCCGTATTGTCGGTATAATTTGATAAAACTGAATAATATGAAATACTTTGCGAAAACATATAAATTTATTTTAAACAATATGATATGAATAATATTATTTTAAATAATATTTACTTCTTGTATTTAGAGMATTATTTATTTTAACTACGCTTATTAAAAATACAGTATCTGAAATAACTCCTCAGAACAGTCACAACTCTAATAATAAACTACATGCGATGGTGTATTAATTTAAGCAAACAACTTTATTTTAATCAATAAACATATTATAATATACAATCTGAATGACATGAAAGTCGATAAGATAAGCTACTATAGAAATAATCTTCGATTATCAGAACATTATGTCTTTGTTGTTGTTCCTTAAGATTATCCCGAGTTATTATGTATTGTCTGATTTTGGAGACTTAAGGATAGTGAATAGACTCTAATTTCAACATACTTGCGGCCATGTCAGGTCAAAAGAAAACTTTACGGTTGTAGTGAAAGTTTCTGTGTTGGCTCTGAGAGGATGTAGATATTGTTACTTTGACCGTTAAGAAAGTACCAGTTTATTTCACGCTCAAAGAGCTTCCGTTTCAGCGCAACACAACGCCGTATAAGAACCGTGGTAATCGTATTTCCTAACCTACCCACCGCTGGGAAGATAACGGTGTCCCTGAGAATTGAGACTATAAGTTTCTATCAATCGAGTTAAAAAACAAAATAAGAACTCGCGGACATAATAATGGAAAATGTACTACAATACTTTGCCATTCGTCACAAAATATTTCAACAAACATTTCTTTTTTCAATTGAATAATCAATCTTGATATTTGTCTTTTTTGTTCATTGCAGTATCTTCACCTGGTGAGATTCAGTGATTGACTACCAAAGKTCGCACAGAGACACGTTTGAACTTTGACCGATCGATAAACTTTCGTGCGGTCGTGCCTGTTGTTTCAGCGACCCCTCGTGTGGACGCGTCTCTAGGGCCCAGCTGTGTCTTTTCTTGGGGTGAAATAAAAAATGAAGGGTAAATCCGAAAAGAAACGGAAATAAAGAACTGGGGTATTGAAAAATAACGAATAAAATAAAAATAGTAGGAAAAACAGTTTTCCGCGCGACTGATCTCCGATCAAAAAGATACCGTTAACTAAACTAAACGGTTTCTTTTTCTTAAAAAAAAAAGAGTTGTGCTATTAYAGCTTGAATGAATAAAAGTCCTTACCGGTTATAACAAAATAGGTAAAATGATTTTCCGATAAAACGAACAATCGAGTTTGTAGTCATTTTTGTGATAGTAGAAAAACGTAATGGCCCCAAAACACGTTGGCCCATTTGGGATTAAACTTTAAATTCTTTACCTCATTTTTATATCCTATTTAAATTTTTTCAATGGCAATAATCTATAATTTATCGATTCGATCCCATTATCAATTTCAACACACTCCTGATATGTTTTCTTTTTCGTTTTGATCTATAACTCTGTAAAGTACATTCAATTCCTGAACAAGTTTCGTAAATGATAATTATTAAATTAGATAAACTTTTATTGTGAATGATAACTATATATTTTTTTTTAATATAACGGGAGCAAAAGGTTTTCTATTTTATTTATTAGAATGTCTTTTATATGGGGTTGTTGAATGAAATGAAGACAATATATTAAACTCTCGGTAAAACCAGAAAGCWATTGGTTAAGCAATAATGTTTTATTTCAGAAACCTCTTTTTAAGGTAGTAAAAGTGCTCTAAAAGCTTCATATAGCATGTCTATTGATTTGAAATAAGTCGTAGATTCCAATTTGGGTTTGTTAGTATTGTAAAATTCCAATATCGTAAAAAAATAAATCATCAAATAAACAGTTTTTATTGTCACTTAATTTTTTTAGTTTCTACTAAAAAAAGRAAACAATATTAGAATTTATTTAAAATCATGTTATGCTAATGTAATCTTATTTTTAATCATATAAATATAAATTAAATTCATGACTATTTAAACTAGGTTTTAATCAATTTGTTATTTTTAAATTTTATTATATTTATCTAATTTAAAAATGTATAAATGGTCATTAATTTACAAGAGATAATACTTGAATGTTCAAAATAAAATATATATATACATTTCTATTTATACCATATAGTCAGTTCTTTGAATACATTTTAAATTGTATTAAACATAAATCAAAAATGTTGTAATTATGGTTTTCAAATAAAAAAAAATACAATTTAATGATTTAATCTAGTTTAATACATCGTCTTATAAATGATTTACCACTTTTGTAACAATTAATTATTGATTTGTAACACAGTTAAAATTTCTATTATTATATCATATAATAATAGTATATTTATATTTAATAAATATTATGCTTTCAGAAAATAATAGTGTTTAGATTTGATGGATGATAGGAAATAGATACTTATAAATATTATACAGAATGACTATTTTACAATGAACAATAAATCAATATAACGAAAATTCATGTATACGTCATAATATTATAATAACTAGTAATATAATATTATATAATAAGTAGGTACCTACTTATAAATATTATTATTGTCACTAAAATTCCGTTTGGCTTACTAAATTAAATACAAAGCAAAACCATTAAAATATTTTCTCGATTTTGAATATTATTCTTATAACTATCTTATCGCGATTTTCCTTACTTAAATTTCAAATAAATGTGATTTTGTCGTGTATTTTAGACGGAGAATATTTCTAACCCTTATTAGGATAATAATGTTAAAATGTACGGAAAAAAACAGAATTATTAGGTTAGCCAAAGTAATAAAATATAAATGAGGTACTTGAACTCAATTGAAGACTGAAATCGACATTCAACGCAAATATTTTATGCTCCAAAGGATATTTTAATGAACACAATATATTACATTATTATAAGTAGGTACTATGGAAATTTTGTGCAGTTTTATGGTGGTGTATGTTTTATCAACGTTTGATATTAAAATATAATTATAATGGAATATGATTTATGTACTTATATAATATTATTAATCTATATTATCTTTAAGAAAAAACCATTTTTTTTTTTTTTAAATTATGATTCATAATATTGTGACGCATGATAAAAAGCCGTAGCAACGCACTCSTGTACTCAGTTTGCCTATACAAACAGCCGTGTCAATATAATTTGAGAATCGTTACTTCCGGCTTTATACCTCCTGCCCGAGATGTATTTTCATAATCTCTATGAGCCGTTCGAACATTAGCATAATGAAAGGTATGATGGGCGGTGCGAAATTAAATCCTGTTATTTATAATATAATGTCTTTGTAACGGACATCCTCCTGACACAAATGACGTTGCTCGTCTCTCCCGCCGAGTGTTTCCGGCCTTAAAAACAATTTATACGTATATATATTTAACCACCGAACGTTAAAACGTTAAAAGCTACTTTTAATTACCAAGATCCTTTCTTCTCCATTAAGGATGAAATATAATATTAATTAAGGAAAATGTTAATGATAAATATTAAGAAAGCACTTTTTTTCCATTTTGTTTTTTTTTTAACAACTGTTAGATTTGTTTGTTGCTTATATATACTCTATTATAATGTTATGTAGAATGTACATATTTCAAGTTTTTTTTTTTTCTAAAATACTTTTTAGATTTAATATATCATTGTACGGAAACTCGAAATTCAACAACAATAGTATGAAAAATGAAAATCCTAACCATAGATTAAAAATAAACAAATAAGAATAATATATATTATAATAAACTTATTATTTCAAAATACAAACAGAATTTTGAAGATTTCATATCGAATTGGTACGCTACTGTGTATGCTTTTTATCAAATTATTTATAAGAACAAACGTGAAACGACTTACTTGTATGTGCTGGTCGTACTATGGTAACTGTGAGAAAAAAGCACAGCCAATAATAGACCGACTTGCTGGACAGTGCAAATGGAATCATGGCGAGGTGTTTGTCCATTACCTGAGTACCATTTCACGTCGCTTCTGATATAGTTTTAATTGCCACGTATTTTTATATCCAATGAACCAATAAAACAGGACGGTTTTCAAACATATCTATAAAACAAACAAAAACCATATATCACTAAATATGAAAAAACATTGGTAAGCATAATATTTCAATTACCTATACATATAATTATTATTACACTGATTCGTTTAACTATAAWTTTACTGAAGGAAAATGATACTATAATTTAGGTATATTATGATAAGTAGTATGATTTAAATAGGAATATAAAAATATTTTTTTGTCATACATATGTAAATTATATATATTATTTAAATATTTATACATCGATGTTAAACAAAATGAGCATATAAATTCGCTTAGGTCTTCTATGGACTGGGAACGGATGTAATTATCACCCGTTTGTTCGTTTGATTTAAATTAAGTTTGTTTTTCCGATCGAGTTTACAATTCCATACAATACCTGTTGAATACTCAATTCTGGGAGTATTCCTACAAATATATGGTTTTTCATTTAAACACATACTTGATAAAGACGTTCAGTAATTTTCGTTAATGAACACGAGTGTTTAGTTATAAACGAAAACTTATTGAGAATCAACTCAGTTTTAATTGCGTGAAATATAACTTTAAGACCTTTGTTATTAAAACTGTAAACTTCCTCTCTATCATTCGCACGCATACCATGATCGTAAAGCATTTGAAAGTTTTACCGCTGTATGAAAATGCACGTGCGACAAAATATTTCAAGTCTAACAGTATTGTTGTGTTGCAATAAAATACATTTTTGAAAGACTTTATAGCCATTATAATTTCTATATTKTCGTCATATTTTATCAAATATTTAAACATAATTGCATACATATAAGTACAGTATAATTGTTGACGCATAAGACGTATATTATAATATGATTGTTTATTATRTCAATTTAGAACAACACAATGTAGGTGTTTAAAAATTTAATTTAATTAAATATTCGTAAATCTTATTTATATCAGAAGATCAATATTGTATACATAAATATAAATTACATATTTAGTATCTAAAATGTATTTTTAACAGTATATTTATGGTGGATAAATATTGTAAAAACCAAACGCTGTATAATGATTATACTTCATATTATTGTCTACTGATGAAATAAATTATAAATTATTGTAAAATAATAATGTACACATCGACTAATTTCAAAGACACGGCATAGATATGTACCGCTTAAATAAAGCATATAAACCGATAAGATTGGTGAAATTCACACAATACAAACAACAAACTGAAATTAATATCAAGTGCAATCAGATCTAGTTTCCGTCCCGAACAATAAATCATTTAAATGAAAATTGTGTTTTTACGASGTTAACACTCCACGAGAGATAGAGTTCGGGGGAAGTATATTCAAAATCACATAAGTCTAAATATGGTTGACATTCCAGTAAAACTATACTTCAACAATGTCTTCCATACCGTGGGAAACTTTCGCAATTAATCAGCCACACACATACACACACGACAGACTGCTTTGAAATAATTTCAATTCGCGTACATACGCGCCGCAATTTCAGTTTGATTTTTAACGTTATGAATCCGATAAAGCAGAACCATTAATATTTTTCGGTCAGTTTCCGGCTATTTTGAGTTCGCCTCTTTTGGGTGTAATATGCTGAAATATAAACTCTAGAGAAATTAGCGCCGTGTGGGGCATAAAAAGGACGCATATAGTTCCCGAATCATAATAAAAACAATTGTTCCTCTCGTTGGCTCCGACGTCCCAAACGCACTTTACTTTCATTTCCCCAGGCTTTTTCCTGGGATAATATTATGAGCAAAACAACCGTACAMGTATACCCTCTTTTATTATACAACCCTCTATATTATAATCATAATTCCTTAATAAACGGCAGTCAATTATTGTATTTTATTTATTTATTTATATTTTATTATTTTATTTGTTCATTTATATTATTATTATTTTATATTGATACGAAATTTCACTGTCCTATGATCGATATAGGTGGTGTATATCAATAAYAAAAAGCAATTTATCATACTATTATGTCACACGGATAATGAATAATAATAAGAGAAAAAACAAATATTATTATGCCAGAGTCCGCTGTCCTAAAAGTTTTTAACAAATAAAACGCTCGTCAATTTTCTGTACCTACCTACCCGAAGTTGATCCAAAATATGATATCTAGTCRAATGAATTAATGATAGCTGGTAAAATATCCAAACCAATATAGCATAAGCTCTAAAGCCATTTTTGATAGTCATAGTAATTTATAAAATACATACCAAAATTCAATAGTTATACAAACGTTTTTAATAATTAATCATTTATTTTTGTATTACCAGATTACTTACTATATTATTAGTGAATAAAAAATTCTTACATCGTAACCAGGGCTAAGAATTTAATATTAATACATAAATTCATATTAAATTTAAAATATGTGAAATACAAATTATATTCAACGCATAGCCATCATAAATACAATATGTTATTTTATACATTTAGTTGTTACTTCATAAAAAAAATGTATTTAAATTATATTTAATATTTTTTATTACATATAATTGATAAAAAAAAAAATGATAAATTTTATTCCTACGATATAATGTTTGAATATTTATGATATTTTAAAATAGAATGTTTATCTTGCACAAATTATTTTAAAGCGTTGTTTTATTTCATATAAATCGCATCTATTTATTTATTTTTAATTTACATTTGTTCATACAATATGTTAACATTTTATACATACTGACATATTTGATTATTATCTTTCATACCATTTACATATCTTTTGTTAACTTTTTTATTTTGTATAATTTCATATATTTTWAAATTGTTTGAACAAATTTGACGATTTTTTTAGTGTAGGCATTATATTTCATGGATTTTCAAAAAATTAATTRTATTTAGAACTAAGTACGATGCGTTGAATATTAAATATAACAAACACTTTAAACATAATATATTTTACATACCTATTCATGTACATRTATATGTATACACATTTTCTTATTTTAAATGYTTAATATTTCAACTAACACAAATTCGTACCAGTGCCTYAATTTGTATTAGGAACTGTAAAATTTTATATAATATTAGCTTCAAAAAATGAATGCAAGAATGTTATACTATTTGAATTTTGAGAATCATCCACCTGTTTTGTAAAACATATTTATACTATTATGTTAAAATGGTTAAATTAATTGTAATCTCTTTAGACACTTAAGAAGACGCTACACCCGCATGTGTTGTTTTCGTCTCACAAGTGCGTAATATACCAAATTTTGTGCTCAGAAGTTCCAATTTAGCTCCATTAGTTTAAAATTTAGAGAGAATTGAC